TTTTATAGTTAGAGTGTCTATTTAGTTAATGAGCTCACACTGCATCAAAACAGATTTAAACATTTAAACAGTATATTTAAACATTTAAACAGAACACATACATATATAAAGTAACTTATGAGTGAGTAAAAACCGCGCCAGAGGTTCAGACAGAACACAAGCATACATATATAAAATAACTTACAGGTGAACCAACACCGTACCAGAGGTTCAAATAGAACGCAATTATACATATTAACATAAACAGACAGAACATAAATATACAGATAGCAACTTACAGGTGAGTCATCACTGCGCTAGAGATTTAGGCAGAACACAAACATACAGGTAGCAATTTACAGGTTAGTCAACACAGTGCCAGAGGTTCAGACAGAACACAAACATGCAGATAGCAACTTACGGGTGAGTCAACACCACACCAGAGGTTTAGACAGAACTCAAACATGCATATAAATTAGATTACAGGTGAGTTAAAACAGTAACTAAGGCACCTCCAACTATATAAAAGACGCACACAAAAAAAAAAAATTATAAATATATATGTATATATTACTATATGCATGGCCAATTATAAGTAGTACTGGAAACCAAGTACATAGACAGGAAGCAAACTTCTTCCAGCCTTTGCTTAGAAAGTGAATCCCACAAGGCAGCAGGACATGGACAAGGCTGCACTTTCATGTTATCAGTAACAGGGTGATCATGAAGACCATACACCTGACCTGACCAATAATCTATGACTCTAGTCATAGATTTAAATATATATATAATGCTATCAACTTGGCTCTCTAAAAAAATACAAAGTAATATACTTTACTTTAACTCTCTATATATATATTACCAGCAATAGAGCTATTTACTATATAACTTTGTATGATGCTTGTCCTAATATAATTGATCAAAAAAAGCCCTAAAAAGTATGACCACCCAGTGCAATTTTTATATTTTTATGTTTTTCATGTTTTTGAAAATTGGATAAACAATTTATTACGGTTCAGCAGATCAAAAACTTGCTTGACATTGCTGTAGTTTACCCGGAGATTATCAAAATTGGTAATCAGTAACTGATGCTTAACATTAGGATCTTTATCCAGAGAAATCGTTTTAATAGCAGAGATTGTGAAGCTGAATCTTTTTCCATTATTCCAAAGCTTACTTTTAGAAAACCACCATTATCCACTCCCAGCTTCACAATGTAGTCATCAGAGAGGTTTATAGTTTCAAGAACTTGCTGACAAAGAACTTTCAAGTATTTGTAATGAATAACAAGTTTATCCACCTGATTTGTGCCCTTGTCAGTTGCAACTTTCATTCAAATTTTGTCAAAACTTTTAAGTTTTTTGCTCAACTGATCAAACTTGGAGAGGAAGTTGTTTTCAACAAACCGACTTGAAACAACTTGATTTAGTGTCGACACCAGCTTTTTTGCACCTGAATTGGACAGCCCTGTGATGTGTTGCACATAAACAAGATCTTTTGCTGTTTGTTCTGGTCCTTCATTAAAAAGTCTTCTTTCTCTAGAAGATGAACCTTGAAGATAATTAAGAGAGATTTCCCATTATTATGCCTTACCTAGATTTAAAATATGAAGCTAGAACTTTAATTACCTCATACAATGTTACCTAAAAGAACCGGAATAGAGTGGTTTTTTTTTCCCTAATTCCTATTCTACTAAGACAAACTATCCCATGAGGTGAAGCTTCATTGTTGGCAATGACTGATGCTGTAATTCTTTAAGCTGCCACAAAGTCCTTTGAGTTGAATTCTGCTAAATTCTTTTGCAAGTTAGACCTTGAGCAATTGTGTAGGAGACTCTTGCTAACAATTGAAAAGCATTGAGAACATCGTCTTTTAACTGAGTTCTGATTTGTTTCAGGTTTCTGGGTTGCCATGACTGGATGTGAAGAATTGTGTTTTGCTTTACCAACTGAGCAAATTAAACAATTACAGGTTGAATCTCTTGTAACAGGGCGGACTTTGATTGTAGAGAAGTCAAACAGCCGTGTTTGGGTTTTAAGCTTTCCCTTCTCAAGCCTTTGAAGGTTGGAGCGGCAACCTTCACTAATGTCTGTTGGGACTTTTGGATCATTTAAGTCAACTTTCTGTTTCATATTTAGTTGCACTTTTTCTGTCATAAAGCTGGTTGAAAAGTGGTTAGCCTTGCCAAGACACAAGAAGCAAACAATCCTCCTGTTCTCCTTGTGATTTTTTGCTTGATTTGGCCTTTTTTTGTTGTTGTTAGTTTGGATGCGGAATCTATAATAAAATATATATAATATAATGTATAATAATATATATATATATATATATATATATATATATATATATATATATATATAATAATAATAATAATAATAAAATATATAATAGTATAATAAAATGAATTAAACAACTAATGCTCAGCTTTTTTACAAAATTTTATCATTATTCTTTATAAAAAAGCAATATTGATTTTTTTAAATTTTTTTGGTACAGACAACTCATTTATTCTTTTTTAAATTAAAAAAATGCAACCAATTTTTATTTATTTTCTTCCTAAAACAACCTATTTAAAATTTATAACTAATTAAGTTTTATTGCTTAGGGTTAAATATATTGCAGTTTTCTTAATTTGATTTTATGCAAATTTGAAAAAAATTGGACTTATATCCCAGTAACCACCAATAATAGTGCAATAATACCTCCAAAGGATTTTTTTAGGTCATGACATCAAACAATATTTCATTTTTTTACAACAGTGAGCCCTGTGGCACACCACTAAAAACATCAACCTAATTAGAGACAATATCATCCTTAACTACTCTCTGTCTTCTATTTGTAAGAAAAGATGCAATCCATTTCAGTATTAATCCATCAACACCATAAGCTCTTAGTAACCATCTGTTATGAAGAACTGTGTCAAACCCTTTTACGAAATCTAGTAAAACAATATCAAATCAGCAGTGTACCCTCTGGTTTTTTCCCAGTCCCCCTGCAGGCGACTGAAACAGTTTTTATTTCTCATTTGAGTTGTCCGCTATGATAATCAGTAGTCCAGTGAAATTTTTTTTTAGTATTTTTTCTTGAGTGAAACTAATGATTTTTTTAAAATTTTAGTTTACGCAAAGCCATGAACTTTGTTTTCAAGGAACAAAATATTATAAATTTGTTAGCAAAAAAGCTATAAAAAGCAAAACAATAAATTTACGACTAAAAAAGTAATAAAACTCTAGTCACTTACTGCATTATAAAAGTAATAAAACTATAATAGTGTTATTACTTTTATTAAGCACTTAAAACTTTTCAAGTTCATTCATTGTTTAAACAACATTAGTAATTCCAAGCTTTAATCAAAGTAGATAAGCATCTACTTTATAAAAAATAAAGTGTATATTCAAATATTATTAAAAACTTTAATTACTTTTACAAATATACTTTAACAACTTTATAATAACGTACTTTATAAAAAGTTTAGCATTATGAAAAACTTTACTAATAGTCTGTAAAAATGTGTGTTGATTTTAGAATCAACCAATAAAATGTTTTTATTTGTTGATTTTAAAATAATGCGCATTTTTATGGACCATTAGTAACGGTTTTCATAATGCTAAACTTTTTACATTTTTATAAAGTTGTTAAGGTTCCTTAATAAGTTTTGTATATTATTTGAATATCCACTCTTTTTTTTTCTAGATGTATTTCTACTTCAATTAAAATTTGGGATTACGTTGTTACGTTACTTATGTTGTTTGAACAAAGAATGAATTATAAAAGTTATAAAAGTAATAGCACTATTATAGTGTTATTACTTTAAAAATGCAGTTAGTGTTATTACTTTTGTGCATTTTTTTTTAATTTCAGTCGCCCTTGGAGAAAATGAGGGTAAACCCCTGCAACTGGAGTATGATTTTCAATGTTTAATTATATAAAATCAATTGTTTCCAATAGATTTATTGTGCATGATTTATTCTTTATAAATCCATGTTTATACTCTGTTAGCAAATTATTTTTGTAAAAATAAGTTTCTATTTTGTTAAGAATAATACCTTTTAATATTTTGCACACAACTGAAGTGAGGGAAACTGGTCTATAATTAGCTGCAACTGCTTTGTCACCTTTTTTGAAAAGAGGAGTTATATTTGCAGATCTAGATTAAATTGGGAGGTGACTTTAAGGTAATGATTCTCTGAAGAATAATGTTATAGGAAGTGCATATGCATTTAAAGCATTTTTTAGCATGGCAGGATGAAATTTATTAGGTCCGAAGGCTTTAGAGTCTAAATGAAAATTTATTTTCATTTAGACTCTAAAGCCTCTTAAAAATATCATTATAATTGATTTCGTCAAGAGATAGATCAGAAAGATTTGTAGCACAATTGTTAATTCTTGACTCAAACTTAGGAAGAGCACCATCATGTTCAATAACAAATACATCTTAAAAACATTTGTTCAAAATATTAGCAACTTCAACTTGATCTTGTGAAATATATCCATGGTCTTTTCATAAAGCTTTCATTAAATCTTTTACCACTAACTGATTGATAATATATTTATATAGCAATTTAGTTTTTTGCTTTGCTTTTTTAATTGAGTCTTGTTTATAATTCTAAATCTCCCATTTGATATAATAATTTCCTATCAAAAAGGAGATTTAGAATTCATTCTAAAATTAATCTACTTCTTTCTTTTCCAAGTTGATAATGCAATTGCCTTTCTGCATTAGTTAAATCTGGACCTATTTATACTGATTTATAAACCTTGCATGTATATATATATATATATATGTATATATATATATATATATATATATATATATATATATATATACATATATATATATATATATATATATATATATATATATATATATATATATATATATATATATATATATATATATATATATATATATATATATATATATATATATATATATATATATATATATATATATATATATATATATATGTATGTATGTATGTATAAATATAGTTTAAAGTTTTTTATTTTTATTTTTCCAGACTTCAGCATTAAAAAGATTGATCCCATCTCAAAATATTCTGTTAATGTTTTTATTAATGAATCTTCACCAATATTTAACACTCCTGGTTTAAGATTCATGATCAAATGTGAAAGTTCAAATAATGAAATCACTAAATTTAATGTTACAGGCAATTCAGTTCTTATTACTTTGTCACATAGCAACACAACTTACAAGTTTTCTGCTGGTTTTCAAAATGAATATGGCATCTATGTGTTTGGAAATGTTTCCTACTATAAAACAGATGAAGATGGTATTGTTTTTTATTATAAATTTTTTTTATAAATTTCACATCTTTTTTGCATAGCATTGATAAATCTTGTGTAATAATTTTAACTTTAATGCAGCTAAGGTAGCTGCAGATTATATATTAGTTAGTATATTAAAATTAGTATATTAAAATAATAAAAGTTGTTTTGCAAAATTTATAAAATTAAAAACTTTTTAGCTAGTCTTTCATATTATACACCGAGTTTTTTTAAATAAAATTGATTTTAATTTAATTTTGTTGAAAGTAATAGTTAACTAAAAGATAAAAAATAGCAGTCTGGAAATTAAAGCTAAATTTAGAATTTTCTAATATACCCACTGGTATGAAATTTTGATTAATACGGTTTCTAATACTGTATATTGTTAAAGTTAATAGAAATTTACGGTTACAAATACTATATATTATTAAATTTAATAAAAGTTATTAAAAAATACTAATACTCTACATTATTAATACTATATATTATTAAAATAAACTTGAAATCTAAATCATGTATTATTTTATTTGACTTAAATATTCTATTTATTATTATAAAAATACATAACAAAAAAATTAGTTTTAAAAAAGGCTCTAAGGTTCAGTGTTTGCTGCGTTTGCTTGGATTATAAAAAACAAGATCAAATAAGTTATTGACAGTTTCTGAACTCATCCTTAAAAAATCTTGTATTTCATTACAAAAATTAGGCTCTGGTGACTTCTGAAGAATCTTTAATAGTATCAATAATAAGCGCAAATCTGTTATTCCACCTCTCTTGTATGGTTCAGACTTTGTCACCTCACCTAAAGACAAAGCTGAATTGTTTGCTAAGGACTTTTCATCGATATCATCTCTTGATTCCACTAGTTGTGGTCTACCTGAGTTAGTTGTCAAACAGGTTGATCCATTGTTTGATATTCGTATCACTCCACCTTCTGTATCTAAAGCGATTTCCTGCTTAGACTCTTCTACAGCTTGAGGTCTGGACAACATATCTGTTATAGTCTTGCAGAAGTGTTCTCCAGAGCTGTCGTCTATCCTTTCAAAACTATTTAACAAGTGCTTATCAGAGTCTTGTTTTCCAGCCTGCTGGAAAGCAGCATCTGTTATCCCTATTTTTAAAAATTCTGGAGGGCGATCTGATTCATCTAACTACCGTCCCATTAGTCTTCTTCCTATCATAAGCAAGGTTTTTGAATCTTTAATTAACAAACACTTAATCTCTCATCTCAAATCTCATAACCTACTTTCTGATCATTAATATGGATTTCGATCTTCTCATTCTATGGCTGATTTGCTATCAGTAATAACCGATAGGTTTTGTCGTGCATTAGATAAAGGTGGAGAGGTTAAGGCCATTGCTCTTGACATTTCTAGCGTTTGATAAAGTTTGGCTTGCTGGTCTCCTCCATAAGCTTTCTTTTTACGGTGTATCTGGAAATATCTTTAAGATTATTGAATCCTTTCTTTCCAATCACAGTATAAAAGTTGTCCTTGATAGACAGCACTCTTCTTCTTATTCTGTAACCTCAGGGGTTCCCCAAGGTTCAATCCTTGGCTCTATACTCTTTTTAATTTACATTAACAATCTTCCAGATATTCTCACATCTAAGGTGGCATTGTTTGTTGATGATACTACCATTTATTCTTGTCATTATAAAAAGTTAACGCTCTCTGATTGCTTGGAGGGGGCATTCGAGCTTAAAAAAGATCTCACTTCTGCTACAGCATGGGGCTCACAGTGACTGGTGAACCTTAATTCAGATAAATTGCAATAATTTAGATCTTTTCTATATTTATGAACGGTAATGTACTCGAGGAGTCATCTGCCCTTCATCTTCTAGGTTTAACTCTTACTTTCGATCTTTCTTGGAAACCGTATATCAAATCTGTTGCAAAATTAGCATCCACTAAGGTTGCATCTCTTTATCGAGCTCGACACTTTCTTAATCCGAATTCTATTCTTTATCTCTACAAATCTCAAATCTGTCTTTGTATGGAACACTGTTGCCTTATTTGGGGCAGATCTTCCAATAATGCCCTTTCTCTTTTAAACAAGGTGCAAAAATGTTTTCTAAACGTAGTTAGACCTGTTTCAACAATTATCACCTCATTGTAATGTTGCTTCTCTTTCTCTTTTCTACAAATACTATAATAGGTACTGCTCTAAAGAGTTAATGTCTCTTGTGCCATCTACTAAAATTTGCTCTCATATTACTCGTCACTCAATTAAGTTTCACCCTTTTACTGTGACTGTAGCTAAGTGCTCCAAAAATTCTTATTCATCTAGTTTTTTACCTTGAACATCGGTTCTTTAGAATTTGCTTCCTACATTTTGCTTTCCTGATTCATTCAAATTTAAAGTCATTTAATTTGTCTGTCAGTCATTATCTTGCTCTATAAACTTCATCTTTTCTCTTCCAGTAACTTCTAACTCTAATAGTGGTTGGTTGCAGCCTTGTTGGAAGCAAAGATGATGAAAATAAAAACAACAACAACAACAAGAATCAAATAACAATATCCGCGCTTAACTTTGCTGCGGTTTTTTTGTTGTGAAATCAAAAGTTGAAATGTTGGCAGACCAAAGATTTTTTAATGTTTATTATTTATCTAAATCACTCTAAATTTTTATATATTTATACCAGTCTCGAATGAGAATGAATTACAAAAAATGGTGGTAATTGAAGCTTGGGAACAACAATACCCTAACAAAATTGCCTTGGGGAATATGATTTTAGAATTTTTTTAGGCTACCTTGAATAACATCAAAATTCGTCATTAGATTTTAAATTTGATCATAGAATATTTTGTTACTTAGCACGGGATTTCGATTTTAAACTTAGTTATTTCCAAATGATATGTATTAGTAGAATAAATAAATCAGAATTTTTAAATTGACACAAGCTTTAACCTGGTGGTCAAATTTCAGAGCAGTGATACCGCAATTATATTATATTCAATTATATAACACATAATCTTGATAAGCATATTACATTTTAAATACATTTTAAAAGATCAATTAGATTTGTTTGAACAATCTAATTGATCACCTTGCAGAGCAGATATTTTACAGAAATATCTTGATTGTTTAAACTAATAACCAATCGACAGCAATATCTTGAAAAGCACCCTAGTTCTTTTTTTTAATTCTTTTCTTTTCTTGAATAAAAAGTAAAAACTTAGGTACAAGCTGTTAAGCATGCCTAAAATAGAAACAATGATGAATAAGTTTTAATGAGAAATAAATGTTTAATACCTATTTAGTAGTTTAACAACTGTTTATCAAAAAGCTACTAGCTTTACATTTATATACATTTAATAGTAACACATTGTATAATATTAAATGTATATAAAGGTACTCAAAGTAATGCATATTATTGCTTATATTTTATATGTTTGTTTCAGTGCTACTATCCTGCCCATTTACCATTCATTAGGAGTAGATCAAATGACTTGGCAGTTTGCTCTGTTAAATGTTCATGTAATATAGTATTAAAGTTAATTGTGTAAACACCATTAACTACCATTATAAGTAATACTTATGAACAGACTATTTGCAGACACCCCTGTTTTTTGGCTAAGTAAGTAGAAACTGATTCTGGAAAAGATATAATTAAAGGCAATTAATTGCCTTCAACACCCATTGAGCATTATGTGTTGCACCAAAAGCTCTAAAGTAAAAAAAAATTAAGTCTCTATCTCAAGCTGTAGGTTTTTTAGGTGAATTTGCCTTTTTTCTATTAAATTAATGCAGACATAAAAATGATTAAAAATCAACTTTAATTTGTATCAACAAAAGCGTGGCTAGCAATAACTATTAATGATACATGTTTGATGAGCAATAAAAGTTAATGGTGCATAAAACTGAGTCAATAAATTGTTAAAGTAGAAACCAAGTTTAAAAGTTGTTTTTAATCAAGAGTTTCTTTTAAATCCCAGGTATGAACTTGGATATAAATGCATTATTAATTAAGCAAACGATGCTTGCATACTTAATGATCTTATTGGATTTGATTTAGCTTATTGGAGTGTGTTCTGACATGACATTTATGAAAGTCACATGATTCATTTGATAAAATAATTTTTTGGTATAACCAGTGGTTGCAACAAGTGGTTTTGGTATAACAAGAAGTTTTATGTGATTTTCTAAAAACTATGGTTACAGATTTACATAGATGTAAACATACTTGAGAGAATTGTAAAGTTTGATTGATTTTAAGTTGGCCCACTTCATTAGTATTCCAACTCGTCTCAGATACTACAAAATTTTCAGAGGTGTATTACAGGTATCTTTGTGAGCTTCTATCATTTTTTATAGGAGCAGAGTTGTCAACTTATTGTTTAAAAAGTCTGTATCTCATCATGAAACAAGGTTTATGACTGACTGTATTTGTTGAATAATTTAAATGTACCATTGTGCTAAATCCGAGACAGAAAAAATACATTAAGTTATCTGAAGGCTGCAACTAACTACAATGAATTTTGTTATGGATTCTTCTTTCTGAAAATCCTTAATGCTTCTTAAGCACCCTCAAATGGTTCAATAGTGTCTAGTATTGTTTTTCAACAACAGTAGACTATTTTAAAGACTTTGCAGCTGTAAAAAGAGTTTTTTTTACCAGACCCTCGTGCATCATACTTGGTATCTGTCCCCCCAATATGCTGTTTTTGCTTTTGCTGATAAAGAACTGAAAACTCAAGTTAAAACCAACATATTAAATAAGTATAAATAAAAAGAAATCTAAAACTGAAAACTCAGATAAAATTCTTCAAAAATAAAAACTGAAAGACTTTGTTGATGATTAGTCCTACATTTTTTTCTTGCTTTTGGTGATCTTTCAAGGCGTCTGCTCTGGAAAGTAAAAAAAATCAAAGCTTGTAAAAATGTTTCCCAGTCTCTTACATACTTTTCAATGTGTTTAAGAACACTTATAATGACGGCTGTTATAAATGATGGTCTAGAAGGCCACATCAAGTTAATTCAAAATTTTTTTGAGAGAACATA